ATTTATTTTGGAATAAGGAGATACGTATAAGAGGGAACCACCGAATCATGAAATGAATAAATCATATGACTCCATCAGATATCTAACTTTAAGGGTATTTGTGCTTTGCTTTTGATGCTAACCATCTTTTGCTTGCTCATTTTTGGCTGGCAATAACAAGGACTTGTGGCCAGGAATGGGGGATACCAGTGGCATTGCTGTTCATTTCCTAGGCCATTCCCATTTATTTATAAATTGTTAAATATAACCGAAGCTACCCAACGCACAATGGCAGATTGGCGGAGGACTCGGCCACACCCTTGCAGACTCTACGCCCAATGTGGCACATCCTGTTGGTGCTCCTCCGAAAATAGCTGAAGCATTGTGTAGAGATATGGAAAATCGAACAGGGAATACAATGAAGCTGCGCTTGAACTGCCACATCAGGTGGGGCACGATGTTAGGGAGTGCAGAGGGTCCTTGGAGGAGGAGGCGCGGCCTCTGCTCAGTTCATTGAATTTGACTTGTTGTTTGTTTTATTTCCAGACGCGCTTTAATGTCGTTTATATTTATACAATTTGGGCGCCAGGCACTCTACTCTCCTACCACACATCCCCAAGCCACTCGTTCTTGTAGTCCTTGGCATCAAGTCAGTGCAAGTGCCCCGTCGCAGGGTCCTGGCCGAACAGAGGGGCATGCTACAACACACAATGAAAGGGTCGACGGAGCGCTTTTTTACTGCAGGGTTACCAACAGCGCCTTTTACGATACAACCGTCAAGACATCCTTTCAGCCTTCCAGCCAGCCAGCCAGCCAGCCATTCATCTCGAATCGGTCGCCTTGGCCGCTGTCTTGCCGCAGTTCATCAATTTATTTAGCATTTTTATGCGCCCTGCTTCAGCAGAATTGCTTAGAGCAGCTTTATTGATTTCATTAGCGGCTTTTAAGGGGCAATCAAGAAAGCGACCTCTCACCCACTTCCCACTCTCTCCATTCTCCATTCTCCACTCTCCTCCTTCCCCATACATCCACTGTGATGCATATTCAATAGGATTTCCCGCTCCATTTTGGCTTGTCAAAGGGTGACCCATTAATAATTTACATTGCGAATGCAATAAATAACTGTTTACACATTGACGAACTGTGAGCAATGTGAGCAATGACATGTTACATTAAAGCCGCTATTCATAAATGTTGATCCACCCACCCACAGAGCCACCCAACCACGCAAAGGGGTGCTCCACTTTTTACAACCCGGGTAAAATTTGTGTACAACATTGTGACTTTTTAGCGTTTTGCGGTTGCATGCTGTAAGTGCCTTTTGATTTCATTACGTTGCTCATTTGTTCTTTCTTGTCGAACATTGATTTTTATGATGCCTTTTTCCATAATAATACTCAGAGGAATTTGGCTCATTTCCGCCCAGAGTTTTTTCCTGGCTCCATTAGGCGAATGTCAGCCATAGCAGTTATTAAATAGTTGTAACATTCAAAGCTCGTTCATATAATTGAAATTGTCGTAATATTTTGTCATATTCATGGTTTAAGAATGAGCAGCTTGCATCTGTTCTTTAAATCATATCCAAATATGATTAAATTCATCTTTGAATTTTATCTTTTAAGTGTTTCTCCATGCCTTTTCCCAGAATTCCTAATCAGCGACAGGGAAAATGTTACCATCTCTAGCATCTCCCTAAAACAACGGATTTTCCCTCATTCAACTCTTTCCTTCAACCAGAGGCAGCAACCAGACAGACTGAGCTCCTCCGCTGTACATATATTACTTGTATTTTTTTATAATTAAACGTATTATGACTTGGCGAAGCGGAAATGCCAGACAGACAATTTGTAATTGTGTGAGACTGACACCCCTAACCACGCATACACACACACACAGACCCGAATTCCGTGCACACACAAAGGCAGGCGAACAGAGAGACAGACTGGCAGAAGGACGGACTGAAATAGAATCCGATTCCAGAACATAAGCTTCGAGCAATAATCCAAAAAACCGAATAAAATTCCCCAACTCTGGGCGACTCGGGAGACCACGCGAATTTGACTTTGCCCAGCAACAAAGTCATCAAAACCATGATTGCAATACAAACCCAGATATACTTGTATTTGGGGCAACACAATTTTGCCACCAACATCGCTGAAGGAGCAGCAGCAGAGGGAGCATGACGAGGAGCTGAATAGAGCAGCGAACTCCAGTCCAATGCCACAAAATTCAAACCCAAAGCGTGGAGACAAACACGCATTTCGGTTCATTAACCAAGCCCAACAAAAGAAGCGGAGGAGCCAGGATGTGGCCACATGGAAAGGATGAACAGAGTGGGCAGGGGATAGAGACAGAGAAAGAGAGAGAGAGAGCGAGCTAGGATGTGGCATAAGAATGATGGAAGAGAGGGATATTTCCCGAGAGATAGAGAGGGTGAAAAGCACTAGTAGCTAACGGAAACAAAATTACCAGCGAGCAAATAAAATGTCGTCGAGGGTTTGACGCTCGCCATTCAAAGCTCAGCATTCTGCTCAACTTCAGTGATAAGCTTTGATGGGCCAAGGATGGGGAGGAGGGTAGAGGGATAAGTATTGTGTGCAGCTTGCGCAATGCCATGCAACGTTTCTTTTTTATTAGTTCTCCGCTTATCCACCATTTTGGCAGTCGTTATTTGGCTGATTACGGGGCCAGGACAGAACGCTGCACATCTGTAACTTTCGCGTATCTCCAGTGCTGATGTGTTTTGACCTCCATTCCATGCAACACACACTATACACACTCACACACATTTGTAGTCACTGTGCAACAAAGTCTGTGACCCGGCGAAGGTGTGGCAGCTTCAGATTGGCCACTCATGTGGAAGAGACACAGACCCCACCCACTGTTGTGACCCTTTGGCCATGCCATTTGCTTTCGCATCTGTATCTGCGCTTTGTATCTCTATCTGTATCTCTGTGGGTTCAACTTTGGGTCATTAGTGCGTCGCTGCTGTGGGGTTTGCTGCCCTGTCCCCTCTGACCTGGTCTCTTGTTTATTTTCTCATTAGTGAGTCAATACACGTAGCACGTTTTGTCTCCACATTGTTGCCGACAATGCGAATGCAGGACAGACACTTTCACTTCCACTTCCACTTCCCCTTGCCCGCCACTGATGGCTTAAGGGTGCGGGTGGGGTGGGGTGGGGTGGGGCGAAAATCCCCTGCACAGATGCTGTGTCATGTGTGAGCTCCCTGTGTACTGGGGCCAGTTGTTTAAGATGCGTGGCTGGCAGTTCGCACTTTGCTGACTGCAACTTGCAGCTGTCTATCCATCTTAGCCCCTGAGTGACTGACTGCCCGACAGCTCATACTTGCCCCAACAGGCTCAGAGAGCCTGAGAGTGCGCTGGGGCCAACAAAGGGGAAAGGGCGCAAAAAGCACTCGTCCCCAGAATGATCCGAAAATGTAAAGTGTAAACTTTTTGCCAGTTGTTTGCTGAACTGCCATTGCACTTTGTCTTCTAGCTTGGCTGGCCATCAGACCATCGGACGTCAAGTGCAGCATCATCCCCCCTCCACTCTCTGAATAAGAATAATCTTTTTCCAGTAAACCGCAAGTCCGTAAGGATTTCTTCCCCCAACACCACCACCACCACTACCACCACCACCAAGTGCCCGAGCTGAAAATTTAAAAAAGACAAAGTCATCGTCGAGTGTTCTCGATATTCTGTTCTTGCATAGTTTTCGCTTTTTAATTTCTTTTTGCGTAGTCCTACATACTATATGGTAGATACACACACACACACACATACACATACACAAACATAGTACAAGTACATACAATTTATATATAAATTTAAGTGGTTTGCAGTACACAGATTACAGCTTAGAGTTTACAGTTTACAGCTGATGGTTTCCTCTGCCTCTGACTCGGAATCTGACCATATCTTAATGCAATCTGAGCTGCCCATTCAACGGCTGCTTCGGCTTCTAAGATGCTTACATGGCTAACACACATATATACACACGCGTACACACACAAATCTTTACAATTACAGCTATAGATGGTCGAAAACGGGCTTTGGGTGGGGGCGTAGAAATATTTATATATGTGTACTTCCAGCCCACAAAGAACTCTAGGAGCTATTTCTCTCTTATTCGCTATACATATTCAATATTAATAATTGCCATTTGTTATAGTTTCTTTTTGTTTTGCTTTTTGCTTTTTGCTTTTTGCTTTTGTTTCTTGCTCGTCTGCTCTGCTCTGATCTGCTTTGCTTTGCTCTTTTTTTGTTGTGTGTGTGCTTACTTTTCTATTTGCCTTCGTTTTTCATTTCGCTTTGTTTGTTTTGAAAACAATGAGCAACATTTTTCTATTCTCTCTCGTCCCGAGATGATGATTTGTTCTGTTCCCGAACCATCCACAAAAATGACGTATCGCCATTTCTATTAGTTTTTACCCCCGACCATCCACACAGGATCCCTTCTGACAGGGCCATTTATATTTTGGTGGAGCGGGAAAATCAATCCTAATTGCACACATTAATTATTGCAAAATCGAAATCGGAAGAGCACTCACTCATACCAAGTAGAAGAGCCCTTTGATGGATTAATGCATTAAGTTTCTCTCTCATTTATTAAGTAAGCCTTGCACATCTGAAGTACATTTAACATTCACTCTATGTCTATTGCTATGCTCGTAAGTAGTTCAAAGTAAAAACCAAACATAAACAAAGAACCTTCATAGTTTTGTACTTAAACACTGACAACCCAAATGTGTGTGTGCACTGCGCTGTTGGGAAGCGATTCGAAGCCAGTTTGCTGATTGTTCGAGTCTCCCCCTCACTGAGGCAGAGTTAAATTCATTTGCACCCGTATTGTTTATTTTAATTTCAGTTGAAACAGAAGTAGAGTTATTAAATTGATATATCTATAGAGAGAGATAGAGGAAGAGGTAAAGAGTGAAGCTATTGTAGCTATTTACAGTATCATATGACAAGTATCTATAGTTTGGTATTGAGTACTTGGTTTGGAGTTGGTTTTGCTTCTGAAAGAGAGTCAGGTACGTGGACAGGTTGAAGACGTAGCTTTCAATGGCTAAGACGTTTGAAACATTTACAGAACGAAATATTGTACTCTAGTGGATAACATCTTTGTAATGGAAGATCTAAGATATGACAACTAATTGTAACAACTAATTCACACTATGCAACCCACCCGCCATCGCATCATTGGACTAGTTAGGAGGATGTTGAAGTTCTTAATCAAGCGGAAAGGATTTGATGATTAGATTTTCTGTTGCATAGTGTTCTATCACCAATCGATAAGCTAATGAGAGACTAGACGAGGGCTAGATCGCCTGATGTATGCAGATATTTACACTCACATCTATGAAGAGTCCTTAAGAGCTAGTTAACTGGGCTGTGGTCTCCGTGAATAATTATGTGATTCTGCTGGTGGCTGAGTTTACTTTACCGAGGAGCTGGAGGAACTGGAGGCCGCCTCCGGCTGGCATTCCAGTTGCGGTGTCGTCTGCACCAGGGCCAATCCGATGCTCTCACTGTCGCTGTCCTCGTCATCGTCCACGTCGTCCAGGGTGGTGATCTGGCTCTGCACACTCTGCCGCTGCTCCAGGACTCTGTGGTGGTGGTGGTGCTGCTGCTGGTGCTCCTCGGTGGCATCAGTGAGCGAGATAGCCGAGATGGTGTCGACACCACCAAGAGCTGGGGCCGTGGGCGAGCTCAGCGAGGAGTTGGAGCTTCGCAGACGCCTCATGCCAGCCATGGGCATGAAGGATACGTGGTGACCCGAAGAGTTCGACGGTCCCATGCCGCTCGGCGTCATCGCCAGGCTGGAGTGCTTCAGGCTGGGTGCCACTGGACTGTTGGCCGCACTCACCGACGCGCCGCCGAGCCCTAAAGCCGGCTCCAGCAATAGCGTGGCCGGAACCGAGGCTATGGTTAGAGTGGAGACCGATGAGGGCCTCGCACCGCCGCCCAGGTGCAACGAGCTGGCAGAGGCCGCTGCCGCCGGCGGTGCAGTGATCGTCACTATCGTCTTGGCCGCACTGTTCACCGCCGACGTGGAGTTGTAGTCCCCGCGATGCTTCATCCCTGAGCTGCGGCGCCTGTCCCGGTGGTGGTGGCGATGGAAGCTCTGGCAGCGGGTGCACGAACGCTGCGAAGAGGACGGCGTGGCCGTGCCCGAGGAGTGATGGTGGTGATGGCCACTGCGGGAGCCGCCTCCAACTCCGCCGACGTTGCTGCCACCGCCGCCGCAGTTGCTGCCACCGCTGCAGGTGCTGCAACTGCTCAGCTGACGTCACATGAGCGTGCGGTCCAGCTGGTTCACCGAATGGTAGCCAAAGGAGGTCGAGGCTGCCACCATTGCAGCGGCCACGTGGCACTGTTAGAAAGAGAAACAGAAGCAGAACCAGAACCAGAACCAGATGCAGAAACGAGCAGGAGGCGAACAGGATGCACATAGAATAGGAAGAAAGAGACGGAAAAAGGCATTTAATTAACATTTTGTTGTTTTATTTGGATTCAAGTGTTTTCATACAATTTGCAGGCAGTGTGTCTCTGTGTTAGTGTGAGTGCGCGCGTGCGTGTGTCTGTGTGTCTGCTTGTGTGTGGCTGAAAACAATTTTCCGTTATAAACGCAGCAGCCGCATCAGCAACAGCAATGAAGCAACAAAGCAACAAAGAGTGGAACAACAAATACAACAACGACACACACAAAGAGAGAAATGAGTAAGTGAGTGAGTGGGGTGGAGGCATGGAGCACGGGTCAGACAGGAAGCGCCAACAGCAGCACCAAAAACAACAACAACAACGAGAACAAGAACAATAACAACAGCATTAGGAAAATGTAGCAGCTTTTCCAGCATTCCCTTTCTGATTTTCTTATTTTTGTCTACTTTTTTCCCGTGCGCTTTTTATCCGGGTTGCAGTAAAAATCAAAGCAAAATGCATGATTGAAAGCAACAAAAAAGCGAAAACAGAAAGCGAAAGAGAACTAGGAAAAGAGCAACAACAAACACCAAGAACAAGAATAAAAAAAAACACACACAGAAATGTAAGTAGAAGTAAAAAAAAATAGGAAAACAAACAGGAAAAAGGATAGCCTCGGGGGCCGAGGCAATTGATACCCTTGCTGATTGATTTTTGACTAGTGAGGATATTATAGTTAACATTTCATGCTTTTGGCTGGGTATAGCCGGATGTCTAAACAGACTGACAATCTCACATTGATTCCAATATTTGCTTTGCTTTTTCCTGCAGTGCAAACTTCAGATCAAAACCATATAATATCTATGTATCATCTGCAATGGGTACCATAAAAAGAGAGAGACTGAGACTCGATTTTCTGGCATTTCTTTTTAGACGGGGAGGCCATCCATCCAGCATTAAAAAAACTGACATGTGGAGTGTAGGTGTTAGTGTGTCCGTGTCCGTGCTCTTGTCTATGTGTGCGATGCGTCTTTCTTCTTGCTTCTTTGAGGGTATACCAAGTGCCCATTGAGACCTCTTTGTGCCTTACGCCGTTTGGTAGCTCTCTGGAATTGTTCTTCCTGCCGTTCCACTCTTCATCCGCCTTTCTACCACTCTCGCCCCCAGCCCACTTTACGACATTCCCATCATCTGTGTGCTCTGCCAATTCAATTACTTTCTTACGGTCGCCTGGTCAGGCCTCTTATTAAATTCTAAAATCCCTTCCCCATTTGCTTACGATTCGCATTACGTATACGCCGAGTGTGCTGCTGGTGGTTTTGAGTGTGGCCGCAATTAGCTTAAATAATTGAAGAGCCAGACCGGATGGCCCTCTCGGCAGACGCCCCAGGCAATTGGGTAATTTGCAATTTTTATAGCTCCACAGGGCCAGCCATCATCAGCAGGGGCATCAGACAGATGGGAGGAAGCTTGACGGCTTATCAATGGAATCTGTTCAATGAAAACCGCTACTAACGCTTTAATCTATTTCAATCTGATGCGAAATACCATTAAGAAGTGTCCGAAAGTTACGCTCTCTCTGTGAGTCATAGGCGACAGCTACCAAAAGAACGCCCAGGGGCTTGTCGCTTAAAAAACATGACAAGCCCCGGCCACAGGTCAATGGCACCATCAAAACCTGGAAACTTTTTTCGCGCACGAACTTGTCGCGAACACGCCCCCCAACCCCTCCGGCCATAGACCTATTTTGTAATTTATTGCCTAACACTCAATAAACCCCTCGGGGTTCACGTCACCCAACAAACCCAACAAACCCGGTAAACCCAGCAAACCCAGCAAAGGGTGGCCCCGCCGTTAAGTAAAGTTTCTAAGAAGGCTTAACAGACATTTGCTTAGCCCATCTTGGGTTACTGCTGCTGACCTTGTGAGTGACTGACTAAAAGATTGACTCGTACCCCCTCCCCGCACTGTACGCAGGGTAAGGACATTAAAAGTTACATGGCTCTGGCCCCGAATTTTGTCCATTTACTTTGGCTACTTCCGCCTCAACGGCTCTGTCACATAATTATAAACGTGAATTTCACGTTCACAGTCAATTACGGATAATTGATGTGTGTGAAACATTTGTGGCAAATTACATTTTGATGTTCGTCCTACCCAGGCGAAACGATCATTATCGAAGGAACGAAACAAAAATAAAAGTAGCATTCTGGCTAAATGTCGCTAAACTTGATTATGGCTAAATACAGCATCGACTGCGTCCTACTGTCGTTTTGCGAGTGGCTTCGGTTCTGTTCAGTTTTTGGGTCAGCGGAAATGGGCTGATTAATTGTTTCAATAACTTGGGTTTAGTTTGGCTTTGGCTTTGGCTTTCGACTTCAATTTTGGCTGCGTTGTGCTGGTATGTACATGCCACAAAGCCTTTGGCCAATAATTGATGCAATTAGCAACGTTTAGAGCGGCAGCAGCAGAAGCAGAAGCATTATGAGTAGTTGCCACAATGAGAATTATTTGTGTGTACTCGTACTTGTGGAGAGTTTGATTAAAGTTGTTTTCTGTGTGCAATTATTTCCTGCAACTGGAATATTCGATGGTGGCGGGAGACTCGATTCTACTCAAAGGCCCCAAAGCGCAGCAGTTCTGGGGCTGGTCCCGGCCTCAGGCATGCCACTGGGTTCTTCTGCAAACATTTAGAGTTACAAATGCTAGATTTACAAGCTTACAAATTTATGCTAAGTAGGTGGTGGCAATGGTTTTATGTGTATGGGTGGACTGTACAGAACGTTCTCTGTGTGCCCTGCATATGTGTGTGGGTGTGGGTGGGTGTTCATGATGGCTGAATGGCTGGCATTTTCAATCAAAACATCTCGGCAGACATTCCTCGAAGCCTCGAATGCCATGCAAATTGGCCATGTCTGGCAAAACTGTGTGTGCGTGTGGGTGTGGGCTGTGTGGGCCGCTTGGCTGTGTGGGTTGCCTGGCCATAGAATCCTTTACGGCTCATTAGGACACAGAGTGGGTGCTCTCATTGAGTGGGCTGAATGTCAGTCAGCGATTAATCATTGAGTGTGCTGTACGCAGAGTGTCTGTGCGCATTAAAGTTGAATAAAACCTCAATCGACTTAATTTTAAAGTGTCATCCAGGGTCTATCCACAAGTAGACACTCACTCACGCACACAAATAGACGTACACATACACATACGGAGGCAACTTGTGGCTGACCGCAATGTGCTTGAGGTGCAGCAAAGATGTCCCAACACTGCGGCATGCGAGTCAACGAGTTAAAGTCCGGAAATCGAGCACTTGTAGACCACCAACAGTGACCGAGAAAGCCAGGAAGGGGGGAGGGCGACAAAACCACACGTCTGCAATATCCTCATTTGGCCAGAACCCATTTCCATTTCCGGAAGTTGCCTCATTTGTAGGCATGGCCAAACACTTTCCCAGTCTTGTACTCGGTCCAATCAATTAGTGGCATTTTGTGACAAACTAAGATCTTTGTCAATGCATTCACTCAATCCATCGATTGAGTCCAATTGTCACTTGGAAAAGAAACCAGAAACCGGCGGAGTACACGATAATGGAATCAATCGTACGTGCAAGAATCGTGCTTTAAATTTTCGCCTCATTTCCGCTTTCTTTTTTTACAGCCAGCCACATTGATATTCGATCATTTCCCATCCGCTCCACTGGACCCCGCATTACCGACACTCATCCAGCAGTATCCGTACCCTTTGCACAAATGAAAAAGTTTCTTTCATTCATATTTTTTGCCTCGAACCAGTCGTGCTCGACGCCTCCCTCCATACACGTACAATTGGCTGTGGAAAACACTTGGCAAATAAATTGGCATGCTCTTGGGTGTAATTGATATGATGACAGACACATTGCCAAACAAAAAAATGAAAATAAAAATAGCCCCAACCTCTAACCCAAAGAAGAAGCCTAAGCCCCGTATCGAAATCCAAATCCAAATCCAGCAGGAACGGAAGCAAAAAGGCGGAGCATCTCTCACACCATGAGGTCTGGCACACACATTGACTGTTGATTGCTGTAAATAACATTTTCATCGATACAATTACATGTGGTACATGTGAGTGTGTGTTTGTGTATATCGCATATCGCTGAGGCGAAAATTGAGTTGGAAGTTTTTAAGTGCAAGAAATGTTTATGGTTCACTTGATAACACTTCTCAAGTATCGACTGTGCGTGACTCCATCCCCTGTCCTACACTCATGTACACATTTCCGGGCATACGTTTGTACATGTGTGTGTGTGTGTGTGTGTTTGCCATGTGTGTTGTAAATTGTGAGTGTAAGCCAGACAGCCATCGATGGATGGGCTCTATAGTGTTTGGCGTGTACGTAGAAGCCATTTTGGAAGGGCCGGACAACAATTACAACAACCAGAAGGAAAAAGTATAAATCTAAAAATAATAAACACCACACTAAAGGAGTGGCGTTGCTGGAGGGGGGAGCTGTACTTGAGAAAAATTCACACATAAAACAAACATAAGATCAACAATCAAGCTTCATGTGTGAGACAGAGAGAGCGCAGGACTTTGTGTGTCTATTTTTACTTTCAGTTTTCTCCCCCATTTCGCTGTCGTGGGAAACCTTTTGTGAGAGGAGAATAACATCGACAG